AAAGAGAAACTTCTAATCAAATTCCCTCCACACCCAAAGATCTACTACTTTGTAGAACAAACTCCCATGTGAATGTTTCCCTGAACACTACAATCTTAACCTCTTCAAAGATCAATCACTTATCGTCATAATCTTCACTTCCTTCCACTTATATCACACCCCATTCAGTAACTCTGTACCATGAGTAACTCTTCACTCTTGTATTTGCTGAACTTTAGTATAATAAATAAAAAGATTAGCAATTCTCTGAAAAACATTACCATTAGAAATATCTGTAAGTAATGATTATCATAGAACATTAATTTCAGTCTTTATTATAAAAATGAGACTTGTGGATATAAATTATAGATTCTCCATTTCTAATTTGCATAAGGTTTTAAGATTTGTATCAAAGTCATAGCCAGTCTGGTTATTCAAGGGAAACAAAGTATTGTAAACATTCTTTTGTTATGCGAACTTATACTGATAGATTTTAGCAAAATATGCCATATCGATTCAATATGTGTGTGTGTCTAAAAATCTGAATCTTTAGTATTGAAAGAGAGACTGCAGAAGTATCTACACTGATTTAAGATCTGTATTCGCACCGTACTTTCCACAAGAATGTAATTATTAAATTAATTAAAACTGCAACATATAGATTGTCTATCATTTATAGATATAAATTTTAATTAGTATTTGACTAAGTGCACATGCAAGAATTCAAAGTGCTCCAAGTTAAAAGAAGAAAAAAAAAAAAAAAAAGTTTCTGAATGAAAAATGAAGGGGGAGTAAGAGTGAGGGTTGCAGTAGCAAGGAATACAACTTGCTGAAAATAATTTTTTTTCTTTTTTTTTTTTTTGCACATTTACACACTTCCCTTTTCTCAAACACAAGCAGATTAAGTATCAAGACAAATACACACATACAAAGAAATAAAACAAACATATTAGAGAGTTACTACAATTTTAGCCAAATATGCTTTTTTAAAAAAAAAAAAAAAAAATTGTTTTCTGGGATTTTGGTTCTCTTAATACTAAAAATAGTATTAAGAAAACCAAAATCCCAGAAAACAATTTTTTTTTTTTTTAGTTGTTTATAAATATCAGTTCTGCTATTAGGATTTTTTTTTTTCTTTTTTTTTACTATCATTAATTCATGAAAATAGATGACCCCCCCAAAAAAAAAGAAATAAAGTAACAAAACCAATTTTTACATAAATTATTGCATCCCAACTCTGTATGTCCCCCATATCACAGGTAAGATTTATTTTTTTTATAAAAATCACAGACACAAATTCTGGTAAAAGGAAGAAAAAAAAAATTATTTTAAATCAGAATTTCAGCTTTTATTGCTGCCCACTGACTAGCAAAATTGTTATTTTTTTCTACTAATATTTCTGGCAAGTTGGGGGGCAATCAAACATTGAATTTTTCAATTTTTTTTTTTTTTTTATCTAATTATTTCAATTTTTAAGCAGAAAAGAGAAGAAGAAAAAAAATTAAGGCAAGAGATAATAAGAGAATTATAAAGCATAGGAAGCTTATTGAATTTTGACTATGTCTGATATTATATCCACAAATACAACCAAAGTTTTGTTTGGTTTCACTTAATTTTTGACACACTTAAACTGTGCCGAGATATCTTCTTAGTACATTACTAGTAGAATTTGAAAGGCTAACAAATGGTTTTACCAATATCATATTTAACCTTTATCACTCTGTATGTGACTTCATTTGCTGTACAAAAAGTTTATTCTTCCACTGAAGATGTTCTTTGAACAATATTGTTTGAATTTCATAGATGTGTTGTCATATTCTGCTATGGCAACAGAAAACAATTTTAAGTGAAATTAACAATATACTGCAACTGAGGCCTTGAAAAAGAATGCAGTAGAAAGGGAAGTAATTTAATTATGCAGAGTGCTAAAGGTTACAGCTTCCTATTAGAAGTTAAAAATATCTTGAACCAATAGTCATTAGTTTTTAGAAACAATACTGTAAATAAAGACAATAAATAATGACTAGCAGTTCCTAAGGAATTTGAATTTTGTGATTTTCAATGAAATGCTATCACATTTCTGAAAGCTTCATACAAGTAACTTATCTGTAGCTAGCCTAATAAATAAGTAACAATTAAAAAAAAAAAACAAAGCAGTATATTATTATTATTATCTTTATATAGATGTATACACTAAAATATTCAGCCAGCACACTCATGAAACACTACAAATGACAATATCAGTAGGATTCATGCACACACAGAAAAAATATTAGACAAATAAATTGGGATTTGGGAAGAGGTTTGGAGACTAAGATTTGCATACCTTGTTTGAATATTTTAAACACTGTGTTCTCTTTGGCTATCATTTGGCACATGCTACTGAACCAATCAAAAAGTTGCACTTAACAATTGGAGAAAGTAGAGAGATTTTATTTATTTTTATATATATATATATATATATATATATATATATATATATATATATATATATATATATATAGGCCCGTTGGAACAGTTGGTATGATGTTTGCCTGATAATGTAACTGTTCAGGTTTCAATTCTCGGTAGTGGATGAGCACTGCTGATGAGTCCCAAATATAGGACGAAACGGCTGTCCAGTGCTTTCTGCATTCTGTTGAGGTTTCTTCTAGACTTGATGAATTAATTATAATTCTCTCAGATCCTCCTAATTTTTATCACCTATATATTATATATATATATATGTGTGTGTGTGTGTGTGTGTGTGATTATATGTATGTAAAGAACTGATGCAAATACAACTTCTAATCAATAAAGAATTTCTCTAGTCAAAAGCACTAAATACTTTCATTTACAAAGAAAAAAAAAATTAATTAACTAATTAATATAGAAATAAATGGTAATAACATCCGTTTTCCTACAAGGAAACATTTGGCATTCATTGACCAAGCAGCCAGTTTTAAAACAATTTTTCAGAAAAATATGTTTCTTAAGTCTGGTAATTGTTATTGTCGTATCCATTATAAATTTTTTTTTTTTTTTTTTTCTAATAACAGGCAGATTGCCGACTTTTTCAATTATACAAAAAGTTTTTTTTCTAAAAAGAACCTTAAAGCTAATAACAGATCACTTAGCAAACAATAAAAGCATATTTAGGGAAGCAAATTCAAAATTTGCTGACCTTATAGATGAAAAGAAATAGAAAAAAATTGAAAAATAACATCATGCACAAGAATATCATAAACTTTGATAATTAGTTAAATTGTGAAGAATTTGAGGGAAAAATGGAAGTATAATCTGTAAATGGAAACCGTTAACCAAAATAAAATGGTCAAGAAGTTGCCTTATCAAACAAACTTATGCTTAAGGATGTAAGCAGCAAGAAATTTTGAGACAAATTTCTATTTTCAACCAAAGAGACTAATCTGTTAAAGTCCAAGATTTGTAAACATAACAAGAACCAACAGAATGAGAAGTACCATTAAACAAAGACAAAAATCGAGAGAGAAAAAAAATTCCTAACATCAAAAATCTAAGTTCTTATTTCAAGACATACAAAAATAAAATAAAAAAAAAAAAAAAAAAAAAAATAATATTGTGCAAGTTCAGAAAAAAAAATTGAAATAACTCCCAAACACAGGAATAAGGAAAAAAAGGCTTCAAAATGTTTTCAATGTTGTTTATTAGAACATTTTTGTATGTTCATTAATATTTTTTTTTGGATTATTGAAAAAAAAAAAAAAAAAAAAAAAAAAAAATTGTTCTTTATTTACTGTGCATATTTCAGATTTGTATAGGTATATATATATATGTAGGTAATACATCTTGGGCCTGTACTGTATATGTACATAAGTGGGTATAAAGGTGCAAATTAGAACTGACTTGACAATCTATGTTTATCATTTCTATTGAACCCCAACCCACTCCTCTCTGACCAATGGCTCAAGCTGACTTTTGCTTATAGAGAGAAAAATGTGTGTGTGTGTGTGTGTGTGTGTGTGTGTGTGTGTGTGTGTAATTTTTTTTTCTGAAAAGACACTCCCAAGTCCAGATGAGGAAGGGGCAAAGAAATTAAAGAAAGGAGTGGGGGTGTACTGACCAAAATGGGATCCAAGTAGAAATTAAGTTTCCTTTTTGCAGATATAATTAGGTTGTATCCTGCCTGCATTTGTACAAGTAAATAGGTAAGTAGGCATCCATTCATACATACATACACACTTATTTGAAGTAATGACATAGGTTGAGCCACAATTGTACAAAATTGAAATGAAAGATTGACTTATTTGTTGCCTTCACAACAAATCTGGCACAAGGCTTTCAAAGTCAAATGATAGTGGTAGTAGATATAGTCATACCATGTGAATATTGCCAATTTCTTACAAGTTTGTTAAATGGATTGTCCCCAACAAGCATGGAATGAAACTTGCCAAGAGAGTTGAAATGGCCACTTCTGAATGTTTATAAACCCTGGATAACATTTTAAGTAGACAAATAGATAAACCACAGTCATGATAGGGTAAAAGAAACACTTCCTTCCAACCAGTTGTGTTTCTAACCTGAACCATCTTTAGCAGATAAGCCTTATACCCAATATTACTAATGTATGTGTAAGCATTATATATATATATATATATATATATATATATATATATATATATATATATATATGCACAACTATACATAAGTTACAAGGCAGGTGTTTGGGAGAGTCATGGTAAGTAAACAAGACAACTTCAGTCAGCTTAATAAGCTAGACATGTGACCAATTCCTTTACACCAGAAAGGGAGTAAGTACCAAGCTACTTTCAATCAAATTAGTATTAGAGATATAGTCAGTTGGTAGTGTTCTTATTTGTATTTATTGATGCTGGTTTTGTTGTAGCAGCAACATGAGAGACGGAAAAGGAAGGTGTAAAATGATCAGCACACACACACACACACACACTTTGATTACATAGCAGCTCATATACAGGCAGACACACACACAGACAGACAGACAGACATACACATTTATCATAGGATGGCTATGAAGATATGACCTTGCCAGAATCTTCTTTCCCTTTATATACAGCCTTGCCATGGGTAAATGGGATATATTTATACTTGATCATATGCTGAAAAACAGAAAAAGAAAAGAAAAAAAAAATAACAGAAAAATTTAAAAAGCTGCAGGAAAAAAGAAAAATTTATAATTATATCATTGACATGATCCAAGGCCTTGGGGTTACCAAGGGAGACTATTCAACATATTTTTAACACCGTCTTTTATAAACTAAATGGAAAAAAAAAATTAATGTTTAATTTTGAGAATAAACTTCAAACTAACAGTGGTTAATGGAATCAATCTTATATAAAAACGTGAAGAAGGAGGGGGAATAGTTATAATTTATTTCAAAATATTTAAGACACACAAACACTGTTTCCAAATTTTAATTTTGATGTATCAAGTCAAAATTATGGTCAGATCTATTACAATGAATAACTAATGCATTAAGTGTATTATTTTGTAAAAGCTTTGTAAATTCCTAAATGTCTTGCCCATGGGACATTTTTTATGGTCTATTTGTAAATCCCTGCTTCAGGTTTAATGCTATTTTTTAGTGTTGACTAATTTTAATTCTTTTTGTAGGTGTGACAAATTTTAAGTTAAAATAAGATCTTTTCAATTGTAACCATTATTTAGTTGGTAGATGGTAGTATTGTTCCTAGGTACTTTTTTTTTTTTTTTTTTTTTGTATTTTGTGAGCTTTTTATCTTCATATTATATAAGAACAAAAATTAGGATATTGGAGGAATTTAGTATTATTTTTAATCTACTTTTCTTCATTTAAATCATAGGGTCTCAAACTGAAGAACACACAAGGGCCGTTATGTAATGATGAAAATGTGCAGCAAGCTAGAAGCACATGGCCATAAACCTTGTGGACAGGTTCCTAATCATGTGGAACATGGATTCCCTTGTTGATGGGTTCCTAACCAGGAGTTCACAAAGCTGAATTAAATCAGTTTGGTAATTTTGAGCTATAGGAGTTGCGAATGAGGGATGTAGGCAAAGGTTCTGGTTTATTAGGTGTATATATATATATATATATATATATATATATATATATATATATATATATAGATATGTGCGAGCAAAAACACAAAATTTATGCATAGTCTTTAAAAAGAATCAGATTTTATAATGTGGAACAATTTCATATTTTGCAATTTTCCTTTCCTTTAATATTGCTGACAATTTTTTTTTTCTTCTTTTCATTCCAATTATGTAGCTAACCAAAAACACCTCTTTCTTCCTTAAAATTTAAGTTTATTTAATAATCTTCTCTCAAACTGCTTTCTAATGTTAGTGGTCTTTTACCTCATGTACCCCCCCAAAAAAAAAAAAATCTTCCATTTTTCTGTTCCAAATGATGATCATGTCACCTCCTGTACCTCCTCCACCCAAATGTTATCAAATCTATTCCTTCTGTTGATACAAGTAAAACAAAGGAAAAATTTCCTGTTGTGCGCATAATCTGCCTGTCATCTAACACCCCCACCCCATATAAATAGGCAAATTTACCTCTTCTTGTGGGTGGGGTGTGTGATTATTTTGTCCTGTCCAAGTTGTATCACATTGCAATCACCTCCACCTCCAAATAAGCCCATCAGCCACAAAACAATTTGCACATATCACTAATATTTTCATCAAGACTGTTTTTTAAACTTATGTAAAATTCAATACTTATTTCCATTTCCACTTTCCCTAATGAGATCTTAATTTTTTTTTTCCTATTTAAAAAAATAGGAAATAGAAAGAGGTACATTTGAACCCTCTTGTCAGGTAAATGATGAAGAATACATAGTGGTGGAGAGGTAAAGTTTTTCTAGAATAGACCTTGCTGACATTAAAATTGATTGTTTGTTGGCACTTTGGTGGGTATGTTCTAGTTCAAAACTGCTGATGCAAATGTATAGAAGAGGTGAGGAACAGATTTATTAAACATTAAAATTTGAGAAAAATATTAATCGCAAAACTGATTCCCCATTTGTCACAGGTTTGAGACCTCTAGTGTCAACATTGAGGCCTATAAATTCTAAGTAGAAATCTAATTATACCAGATTTTATCTTGTGTGATTACACATTTATAAAATCACTTTTATTAGTGGGTTTTTGCTAAATGTTTAACTTTAGATCATTATCTGTGTGGTTTAACATAACAAGAAACAGTAATGTATTGTTTGTTTCTATTTAATAAGCAAATTCAATTTTATCTTTAATGTTATTTAATTTACAAAATCAAGTAATATTGTTTGGGTGGGGATATATTAATAAAGCATCATTGATATATCAAAATATATATATTCTTTAGATAAAATATTTTTGGGATGGAATAATTTCTAGAAATTCTAAGAAGCAACATGCTAATACACTGCAAAGAGGTGATCCCATTAGTAAGCCAAATTTCTTGCTATAAAAATTATTGAATGTAAAAATAACATTGGTTTGTAATTAGTTGACAATTCCTTGCAATTTTCTGAGGAGAGATTAGTTTTTGATTTTACAAGACGTTTCTTTAGGAGATTTAAACATTTGTTGATAGGTACATTAGTGTATAAGAATTTAATATCGAAACTAACCAGGATTTAGATATATCATATTTGTGTATTTGTCTTGACAAGGATGCTGGAATTGCTAACATGTGAAGTGCTATTTATTTCAAGAAGCAAGGTTAAAATTTTTGCTAGTTTTCACTAGTATGTGGAGCACTTACAATCCCAGATATGATTGGTCACACATGAATGTTTGTTTTGTGTTTTTGGTTGATCATAAAGTTTGGGTATTTTAGGGCGATATTTAAGATATTTTGACCATGTATTATTTTCATTAAAAAAACTTTCTGATTTGAATTTTTGTGTTTCTAAAATTACTTTATGGTCACTGTTTTTTTTTTTTTATAAACATTTATATGCATGTTATATATATATATATATATATATATATATATATATGTTATCCTTATACATGACAACAATTCCACTTTCTTTGACGCTGTGACAGAAATGTTCAGATTTGGGGCCAAATTTTCTAGTATCCTTAGGTGTCATTGTGAGAACATTATTCCATTGTCTCTTCCTAAAATGGCAATGATTATTCCTCATGTGAAAAGCTTTGTTGAAATCTGAATCATTTTTGTTGTGGTTCTTAATTATTGTATCAATGTTTTCTTTTATAATAATGGGTGCAAACTTCAGTCCCAAAATGAGGGACTAGAGTTCTGCATTCATTAATCTGATGTTTGATAAGTTTGTTTTTTTCTTTTAAGTCACCTTGTAATAAAACATTACTCTCTCACCCAATCTTGAAAGATAATTACCCACTTTATAAACTAAATTTTTAATTGTATTTAAACTGGAAGCTTAACTGTTCTTTGTTGATGCCATTGAAAAGAAAAACATTTTTTTTTTACTGCTAATACTAGTATTTGAAAGGTCTTATGAAAGTAAATCTCCTTTGCATAGTTGCACAAAGAGTATACCAACTCAGAATTCACAAGACATTCTCAACCCTCTCCCCCCCAAAAAATACACCCAACCTGATATCAGAAGTCTCAAAAGTCTACAAGAGTCAGTATCCTCTAATTGAGTGCAATAGAAAAGATCACTTATAATACAAATATTATTACTACTAGTACTAATAATAATCAAGATATGAAAGCGATTTGTCCATTGAAAATTAACAGGCTGAGAAAAAATTGCAAAATATGCTAATTTCAATATGGTTATTTAATATTGTTCAGATTAAATTTCCAATGACAGGATTTTTCTTTCAAATTTAGACACTACTGATACATTAAATTATTAACCACAAGTGACAATGAATACAATATACATTGCTTCTATAGCTGGGTATTAATTATAAAGAATTAATCTTCTGGAGCTACCATCTCCCTCCCACCATATATATATATATATATATATATATATATATATATTATAAATTAATTGATTTAAAATATGGTTATTTTCGCTACACAGTTCCAACCATGTTTCAAAAATAGAAGCTAAAAACCCCTAATTTTATTTTTTTGCATATTTTGTAAAAAATAAAATATCTATAAGAACACCGGATTTTATATCTTACTGTTCTTTTTTTTTTTTATATTATATATATATATATATATATATATATATATATATATATATATATATATATATAAGCAAATATATGGATATAGATCCGATAGTATGAAGAAAAATATACTGGAAAAACAAACAAAAAATCCTAATATGCGATTATGTTGTTTTAATGTTTAATGTCAACGTCGGACATTTTGGATAATAGACCATCTTCAGGACATATTCATAAAACATAATTAACATAGACCATATACAATTCAACATGAAAAAGACGATGGACATAAAAGCAATAAATGTTTTATGAATATGTCCTGAAGATGGTCTATTAGACCGAAACGTCCGACATTGACATTAAAACAACAATCACATATTAGGATTTTTTGTTTTTTTTTTTCAGTATATTTTTCTTTATATATATATAGTAAAACATGGTAATTCCTGTGCAGCAATGAAACCATATTTTTAAATCAGTTAATTTATAATATATATATATATATATATATATATATATATATATATATATATATATATATATATATATATACACACACAAAAATGAAACCAGGACAGGTATAAGCATTTCTTCTTTCTTTGTCCCCAGTTACATTCAGCAAAAATTCTTCCATATTTTGTCTGTCAAAATCCTCATAGAATTTTACTATAATGTACTAGCTGCTTGAAAGATATAAAAGTCATCAAGCAGAAGAACTTTTTAAAATATTGGCAGATAGTCAAAAACTTAAGACGTATTTTTACCTTGTATTTTTTGAAAATTAGATTTTGATTCTTTGTACATTGCAGATAATATAAAATGTTTTGTCCAGATTAAAATGTAAATGCTGTGACAACTTTATTACAATATAACAGATCTGGTTGAGAAGTTAATGTAGATTAAAATATTAAGTATTTCACTTCAACAAATTCATTACAAAGCTCATTTATCTTTTATTCATTTCACAAGTAAATCTAGAAACAGAAACAAAATTTTCTTTGCTGTCTCATTAGAATGACTTTCTCAATACATTTGGTCGTTATTATTATTTAACTGGTTCCTGTGGTGGATCAAGGGGTTCCCTACTAACATCATTCAGTTTCAAAGTTATATGTAAATTTTGCACGCCTTTTTTAATTTTTGTTTCTGGAAAATATGTCAGACTACACTTATGAGCCAAAAAATAGCCTTTTCACTTTTTATTCTGTAAGCCCGCCTAACAAAATGTACTAAAATATACATATTATGCATACTTTGCTTAATACCAGTAAATGGTACAAAAGCTGTTTTCACTTTTTGGGGATTGCAATACCCTTTCCAAATAGATTCAGCAGCCATCCAAAACCCTAAGTAATCTTGAACAGTATTATGCAGTTATTAAGAAGTGATTCAAAATTCTTTGTGTAAATTCTGTACCTTTGTCACTTTTATATTTCTCTGATCCACATGGCTGAATATTTTTCAGTAGCTCCTAAGATAGTAAACTATCTTAATTAAAACAACCAATTTTGCAATGGGCCTAGTAAATCACAATGCACTAGTTTCAATATTGAATTCAATATGTTGATCGAATTTTCTATTCCTGTACAGAGTCATTTTCCCCTTTAACCAATTCCACATTTAGAATTATTTGAAATTTTCATTCCTTCAAGGAACTTTATTTTGTTTCATATGTGTGAAAAAAAAAAAAAAAAAAAAAAAAGACTTACAAGTATTTCAAGAAAAAAAAATACCTAGTACTATTTATTGTTTTCTTCTCCAAATAGCTTTTGTAATAAAAGGTTGAATAGAAAATGGATTAACTGTTCTGATCTACTCAGAATTCACAAGGTAGTGGTGTTATGGTCAAGAGCCGGTGTGGAAAACAAAAAACAAAAAATAAAACTAAAAGTGGAGTTACTTACCTTGATCTGTCTCTTCATTGTGATTGTAAACAGGATGATGAAATACATGACAAGGATAGGCCAGAACACTGGGATGTTCAGAGCATCAAACAAAGTACAGAATAAGCCAATTAAAATAGACTTGGAGGCAGAATACCTAAAATAAATGAAACAATAGAAATGATTAATCATGGACTATGTTGGCAACACCAATTAAAAACAGAACTAAAAAAAATATAAAGGTGGGGAGGAAGAAATTCTATTTAAAATGAAAGGGATTTGATAGGAAAAAAAACAATTTCTGCAAAATGTTTAACAGATGAGAACCAATAAGCAATAGAAAATTTAAAAATGCTATCTCAAGTAATTAGAAAAAATTTCATTTAACAAAAATACTTTTTTAAAACTTGAATTATCAATGTAATAGAATTTATAAAGGTCAAAAAAAGATATTCCTAATTATGATTTTAATCATCAAAGTGATAAGCAAAAAAAAAAAAAATTTTTTTGATGAATGTCCCAAAATAAATTTTATTTTATTGAAAGTCAAACTGCTATATAACATAACAGCAAAGAGGACAGTTGTTGAACACAAAGATATTTTGGGAGTACAAAAAAAAAAAAAAAAAAAAAAAAAACCTTAAGGCATTCAATTTACAAGATTAAGAGAGTCTATACAAGAGAATAAAGATAACTTTTATGTTTAAACACAATTATTAAATTAAATTTCTCCTTTAAATCTACCTGTAAAAAGTTTTGGATACCTTTTACAACAGATTCTAATATACCATGGTTGACAAGTCATAAGCACTATAACATGAGATTGGCTTAAAAGTCAGCATTTACAAATTAAGGATTGAGCACATCATTCACGTGTTTTAACAATACATAGAAATTGTTAAAGCTGTTTTTCATTCTCTATGAATGTAACATCACAAATAGATACAGCAGTCATAACAACACATCCACATTTTCAGTAATTTTAAACCAAGTACTAAACTTGCTATTTCAATAAGGTCACCAAGTTCTTTCCACAGTGTCATTTTGGTATGGTGATTAGAAGCAGAATTTTCCTGCTTTACATGTAAATTTAGTATTGTTGTTACTTCTACATTTCACTGATCGACATGACAGAATTTCAGGTAAATATTTTTCAGTAGCTCCTAAGATAGGGCTTTCCCTTAACTGTCCTGGGTATGACGATAAACTACATCCAGCAGCAAGGCCACTGATCAGGATGTCTTTACGAGCATGGAACCACCTCTTAATTGCTGTTGTTCCCAGGTCCACCCTGACCTAGGGTGGTAACAACTGTTAGGGTCAAATAAGTGGAGAAATAGGGAACACCCAAACTCGAGTCAAAACATGAAAAATATACAAATACATTACAAAAAATTACCAGCAATACATTTTCATAGTTAAGAAAAAAAAGAAATTAAAAATTATCAGCAATACATTTTTGAAAAAAATTACCAAAGTTCACAAGAAAATAAAATTTTGGCATTAAATGAGCCATAAGGAGTAAATATGCCATTAAACAAACCAAACCTTGCCCTAATTAAACCATTTTTTACAATAGGATGTACTAAATTGTAATGTGCTAGTTTCGATACTGAATTCACATATTTATAGTAACTTTTTTTCAGTATCAAATTCCTATTACAAGAATAAAAAAAAAAATAATTTTCAAAATTTTCACTAGAAAAATATTCCTTGCATTTATTTAACCAACTATTCTGTAACTGCAAACATACATTCACATTTTTCAGGAGTTAAATATTGCAACATTACACCTGCTTATTTCATAGAATAATAGTGATTAATGATAAGCAAGACAAAACTCACAAATGAATAGAAACTACAAAAGCATGACTATTAATCTTTATTTAAAACAACATATTTTGCTAATGAGCTAAAAAAGATTCAATAGTAGCAACAAGAAAAATACTGACTTGATATCTGTAGAGAGTGTAGATAAATACACACACACATACACGCAAAGTAAGAATATATTTGGTCTTGTGACCCAGGAGATATCATACAGGATCGACCAATAACAAAGCAGAAGGGTAGTATGAGTAACAAAAAATAAATCTATGACAAGACTACACTCTTCAATCATCATGACACGCCAGTGACTAAACTTTTATCAAGACATTTGGTAACAGATAAGATTACCAAGAAATGTATTTTTCCTTCTGCCAAAGGAATAGGCAGCTCTGCAGATAAAATTCAGAATGCTCAATTCCGTTTTTGGTAAGATTAACTATTATCTCATTTGTCACATTGAGAAAGAATATAGGTAACGGTTAAATCAAGTTTGAAGAAAGTTGGAGAGGCTTTGGTAACTGATAACTAATTGAAGCATTTTAAAATTGTAAAATCAGTGTACAAAACTATCCACCAAGCACATTTCATGCACATTATGTATGTTTGTTGCAATAAAGAAACAGTGGCTGCAAATATATTTACCAAAATTTAAATTCTGGTAATCTGCGCATAAAAGGTCGGAATTCTTCATTTGCTTTTGTTGGTAATGATGGTCCATCTTCTGTGTAAAAAAAAAAAAAAAAATAAATAAAAATAAAGAAGAGAACTAAAAACATCAATAATTTACAAGAAAAAAAATATATCACCTTATATCGTTTAGAATAATCATATGCATTTATACTAAATGTTTGTGAAGTTAACATTGAAACATGACAGCTGAATTAAAATAACATTTTTAATGCAAGCACTGGAAGCAATACTCGACACACCCAACCAACAAAATACATGAGGCATTACTTATGAAATATTTTAAAACCTTATTTTTAAAATACAATGACATTTTTGATAAAAAGGAAATGTGAAAATTAAACATAATTCTAGAAACTGGTTATTTAGTACTACAACAAAACAAAAAAAGACCTTGCATGTATATCAAGTGTATTTAGGAACACACTATAATCATGTTTGAAGTAATTATATATATATATATATATATATATATATATATAATAAGAATTGGTTGGTTTGGCAATTTCTGTTTCCAGTTGATTTTTCCCTTGATACCGCTGCTTTTAATTTAGTATTTTCGCATTTCCAGTCAATATCTGATTTTGTTTGACATTGATAAATTTGCACCTCGCAAACTCTTGTGTATTTCTGGTCCAATCTTAAAAATATGACTGGAAAGAAAATAAAATAATCTTTCTAAATATGTAATTTTTATGCGCTTTTAATCATTGAATTATATTTTTACTGAGAGTTAAAATGGTATTTTGCTTTGAACACCCAAAAATGTGAAAATGTTTTTTTTTTTTTTTTTTTTTTAGGGGGGCAGGGAACTAAATTTTAGTTTTACTTTGTTTCGCAAAATCAATGTGATCAATCTTTATCAATATTCTTGAAATTGTACACTCAATCTTCTAATTTAGAAGACACCTTAAGCTACTACCAGAAAGATGTTTATTTCTTCTCTGACCCATTAAAGCAAATTCCTTCAAAAATTATAAAGTAAGCAGCAAAAGAAAAAAAAAAAGATTAACTGATAGTATGTGTGGTAAAAGAACTTTCAAATTCAATTGAAACTATTGTCACGTTGCATAAAATAAACGCCCCATATACTTTTCAACTTTCGAGTGTTGTTTTTTTCCAGAAACGTCTGTCATTTTGGAAGTCTTAACTGGTGTGTAAGAGGCCAATATTTAGTTTTAAAGGGTAATAAAAATTTATAGACATGTGTTAAAGACCACTGAAATTGAAACCCCAAAAAAACCCGCGAATCAGGGTGGGTAATAAAGTCGGAATTGTTCACCTAAAGTCAGTTTTTAGGCTTTAAAGATAATTTAGTCATAGAATTCATGACTTGGATTAAAGTTGAATAAACCTTCAAATAAACTGTAAATAACTACCATTATTTAACAACAAATTGGTAAAATACAAAAGAAATCGTCACATAAAATATCTATATTTGTGTCTTTGGACAACACATTTTTGAGAGAGAAAATAAAATGGTGTAGCTCTCCAGAAATTAGTTTTAAAAAGCCAAAAAATGAAACCCATCATGTTTAAAATTATTAAAAATGCAGCAATTCTTTTCTGATATGTCAGTCAACTATTATTGGGGATTTACAAATAAATTTCTTCTAGACAAGGAAAATCAATGAGTTATTTTTTCCCCTAAATAAATGTTTTTATCTAGCAAATACTACACCTAAAATTAAATATTAAAAATAATTAAAAGCTTTTAATTTCATTTTCATAATGTGTATATTTCCAAACCTGCAAGTAGCACCTGTTCTTTACGCATCTTAAAACTGAAATTAAAAACTATATAATCATTTATTAAAAATTTATAATCATTTTAACATAATCTTAAGTGTATTCACTAGATAAAACCATGAAGATATTTGTAAAAATAAAATGAATTAATTTTCCTTGTTTAGAAGAATTTTATAGGCTGAACACTAGTGGCTTTATAAAAAAAAAAAAAATGAATAATTTTTACTTTGGGTTTAAAACAAAATAACTTGCAATTTTGAAAATATGCACATTTTAAAACCGAGATTAAAACTTACTTTATTTTTTAAATATCTGATTTTAGGTGTATTTGCTAGATAGAAACAATTTTATTTGTAGAAAAACAATTTTACACTAGAGACTCACATATCTGGAAATATACATATTTTAAAAGTGAAATTAAGAACTATTTTAATTATTCTTAATATCTAAGGTGCATTTCCTAGATAAAAAATAAGTTTATTAATTAAAAAAGGTCTTAATTCATTTTTCTTGTTTACAACAACTTATTTAGTGATTAGCATATTTGCTTACTAGAAAACAATTACAAAAAATAACATTAAAACAAAACTAGCAACTAATTTTTTATTTTTACTCACTATTTTGTTATAGCTTAATTTTACAAGTTTTTTTGTTTTTTTTTCGAAAACTGAAACAAATAGACTTTCATTTTTCAGATATCATATTTCCTTTTTTTCTGTTTCAAAACATGATTTCCAAGCGTCATATCTGTTGCTTTTCCTTTTTTCTTTTCTTTTGTAAATGAACAAAGATTTCACATTTATTTCCTAAAAAACTAGTCAATTAAATGTTTTTTTGACATTTTTGTTCAATCTTTTTCTCTTACTTGTATAATTCTTGATAAAATTTAATTTTATTAACATCTGAAAGACTTTTTCAATGTTTCTTTGGATATGGTCGCTCAGTAGTGATAGCACTTAAAAAACAAGCGATTTCGGTTTCATAAAAAATTCGATGCAGTTTCACAGTGTGAAGATGAAACCAAAAAAGAAAAAGCCTTTTTTGGTTAAACCGCACATCTTTAATATATATATTATATATATGCATGCATGCATACACACACACACACACACACACACAGAGTAGGTGATTGAAAAATAACTCCCCATTTTAAAATACTTATAATTTATTTATTAACTATAAATTTTACAAGAAATGTATGAGAGGAAAGCATGTAGCATGAGGTTTTTTTTTTTTTTTTTTTTTTTTTTAAAATTTGATATGGGTACCAGATTTTGTATCAACTGATTTCACCAGGAATTCTTGTGGTATGGAAGACAACTTCTTGTATTTGCCCTTCAAATTCTTCCATAGTCTTTGGTTTGGTATAGTAGACTTGACCCTTTAACCAACCCCAAAGAAAAAAGTCACAGGGTGTTAAGTCAGGAGTCTTGGCTGGTCACTCATACACCCTGTATATATAAGGCGCGGTGTGTAAATTGTTGCCATTTTATATTTTTAATTTTGTGTAGGCACATTGTTTATTTTTTATTTTGTCAACTGCACAGTATAGCAGGGGCAGTTGGTTACTGCCTATGAAAAAAAAGAGCACTGTGATGCAATTCACTCTGCCAGAAATTTGGAAACTGCATGCTGTACTGCTTAGCATTCATGCCAGAATCTCCAATATGAATATTTCAGAGTGCTTGGGTGTCAATCTGAGGACAGTGCAGAGGATTCAGAAAGAGTTGGAAGAGTCTAATGGTGATCATGAAGGCAGCTCTGAAAACTCACTGATCACTCTGATGAGAAAAGAACTCCTGAATTTGTTGGAGAGATCAAAGCCATGATTGAAAATGATCCCTCCAAGTCATTCAGATCCATAGCCAGGGAGGTAGTGCTGCCCTGTGTCAAGAGGGTGGCTACTAAAATACCCTATGTTTGGCACCATTTCATACAAGCAGAACCCAGTCATGGCTGTCAGACCACACCTCTTACATCTGGCCATCTAACTCTCCAGACAGCAACCCACTTGATTATTATGAGTGGGGCACAGTTAAGTGAGAAACCAACAAAACTCCTTGTAGCACCAAAGATGAACTGAGGGCAAGGATTATGGCACAATTCACCAACTTAAACAAGGAGACCATCCAGAAGAGTTGCAGGAGATTCCGAAGTTGTCTGAAGTCTGTGGTTGAAGACAATGACGATTTTATTAAATAAATTAACTCTTTAGTACTTCAAGATTGTGTAATTTTGGTAAATATATGTTAAAATAAGATATCAGTGTAATTTTTATTTTTGCATAATTTAGATGACAATTTATCCATTGCACCCTCCATATATATATATATATATATATATATATATATATAAAATGTGTGTGTGTATGCATGTGTGCCCATATTTACATGTAAAGGTCTGAGCTGCTAAGAGAGATGCTGAAAAGTCCTTGGTCCAAGACAAAACTCCCAAAATTGTTTCATCATTTAGTTAGATCTTGGCAAGGGGATCAGGTTAAGAGTTTTTCAACACCCCTATGTTAAGGATAGAGATTTACCAATTGACTTCCGAGACAAATACAAATAATTTCATTAACCTTTTTTCAAGATTGTTAGTTTACCTATCTTTGTTATGCCCCTAGAAGTCCTCAACCATAAAACAAACATTTTATATATAAAATAAATTCCTGTCAAAGAGTGGCTGACCACAACTAAGTTTTGTATGTTCTCCCACAATCATCAGGTAGTTAGCAACAGTAATTTGTGAAAATGGGCATTTTTGTACACCTTTTGCAAGTTTAAGATGTTCAATATCAGCCACTGCTCACCAGGAATTTATTTAATAATATTATGGTATTGAGCTCTCTTTCTCTGGTGTGCCTCTGTAGAATTATAAAAAAATTATATGCAAGATATAGTTTTAAGTTATGCTATATTTATGAATTAAAGTGTGCAATATCAGGGACAGAGTGTATGTAAATATAAAAGTGAACATCGAAGTCAACACCCAGAGGTAACAGTCTTGACTTCATTATCCACTTATCGAACATGGTAATTTGGTCATAAATTTTAAACAATTCCCTCAGGTTTTTATATCTTCCAGATGAAGTCACTTCTCAATATCACTTATTTTTATGCTAATGTCAGCTCTTGTCAAATTTATAGTTATTAAAATTTGAATAAAAAGAACAACTGATCTATTAAAGCAATTTTTAAAATCTGAATTTTAAAAAACGGCAAATATCTCACTATTCACAATCTAAAAAAGATTTTCTCATTAAAGTACACAATAGAATATCAAAGCATTTGTATTATTTCATTATAAACATGTTATAGACAGAAAAGATGCATTTCTATTCCTATTGTGTAGAGAATAAACCATAAAATTGAACTTACCTGTGTCTTCTATGGCAGGGTCTATTTTAGGCGTAAGGAATGCAATAAACAAATTAAGAAGATAAATTCCTAATGCATATGTCACAATATACCAGCCCTGAGGAGAAGGTGAAGAAAAAGATGAAATATTAATAAAATAAAAATGCAAAGAGTTAATTTTCTATGAAAATCTACATAAGTCATTAACAGTGAAATATAATATTGACAAATTATGAACATTTGCACATTTTAATGTTTACTTTTTCATATAAATATTACTTTTTTCTTTTGGAATTTTGAACCAAACCAGTGGACTAAATAAAGGGTTCAGTTTGAAATTGCAATGTATATATCACCTGATGAAGCCCAGAGCATACAACGGCCAAAACATTGTGAAAAATGATAAAGATGAGAACAGTCGGGACAATGAAAATAGTGTAAAGTGTCTCAAATTTCAATTAAAATTTCTATAAACCAGGTTCAGCTGATATATTATTTTGAAACAATTGTGTGCGCACACATAAGTTGCCACCCAAAATGCACTGGCTCGATAGCATTCCTTGCTCTACCCCAACCAAAGCTTGTAAACATCAAGATAAGTTGTCTGCTAGAAGGCATATATATATATATATATATATATACACACACAACAGTTCAAAGGTTTGAGGATAATCCTGGTAATTTTTTTAAATTGGCACCAAAAGTAATTGTTTTGTACCTTAAATAGGAGATAATTATTAAATATGGTTAAAAAAAATTGAGACTTTTTTTTATAGAAATTTTATTATGCCAAGAAAGAAGAAAAAAGAAAAAAAAAAGCATTTTATGATTAAATTTTGCTCTCATCAAAATATCCACCATTAGCCTTGATTACTGCAGCACAAATCTTTGGCATTTATTGCAAAAGTTTTTCAAAGTATAAGTTTGATAATTGATTCCATTCTTTTTTCAATGACTAAGAACTCTTTTTCATTTTTCTTTTTACACTATTCATGTTAATTTCAGGGGTCAAACTTTTAAATTGTGGTGTGTGTGTATATATATATATATATATATATATATAAACAATTTGTTAATATTAGCACATGAACCTAATTTGTTATTTCCATTATCTCTTTCCATTAAGAAAAAAAATAACATAATCCCTGTATTTGTGTCATTTTAGACTTTCATTAATAAGTTTTATTGTGGAGTATTAACTGATTAGATAAAATCACTTGTTAATAGAGTAATTCAACAACTATAAATAGAATTTCAATTTATTTCATTAGTCGGTCTCTCTCACACTCTCCACCCCCACACAAAATGTTCCTAATAGAACAATGTTCTAGAACACCACAAATAGAAATATACATACAGCAGCTGGTAGCTTAGTTTGTTGTATATCCAGCTTAGGCTTTTAAAGTACAAAGTTGAAATTCATGAAAGTAAACCAACAAGTAAACTAGTGGCAGAAAGTGACTAAAATTACAAGCCAGAAACAAGGTTTTGTTGATAGGTACTAAAGTTACATTTACAAACTGGTTTTCTTAATATCCAACACTACAGTTTCTATAAACAATGTAGTCTATAATTTAATAATACCAATTACAAATTTCAGGCAGCCTATATTTTAATTGTGCAGTTACCAATGTTTGATAAAAATGACTAATCAGATTTTTTTTTAGACCCTCTGCTTATTAAACTATCCATGCCGAGAAAGGAAGAGAGTTAACTTCAAGAAGTGTGCACACACACACACGAGTGGATGTTTAGTTGATTAAGGCACAAAGGTTCAGGTACACTCTTGTGACATTTGCTCTAGAAACCAAATTAGATTCTAGATGGCTGGTGGAGAAACAATTATAGTTAACGATCAAGACCAGGCTTCAATACAAGTAATAAACCCCCTCACACTTCATGGCACTGGTTTGAATTCAGAGTTTTCCTCCTCCTATACTGGATGCCAACCAAGGCAAGAGAGCCCAGTATGCCCTGCTATTTTACCAATAACTAGAGAAGGAGGTATTCGTGTCTTTTTCAGGGACATTAATGCTAAATGAATGTAAAAGACCCTGCCAGAAATTTAACTCTGCACCAATAGCTGTTACAATAACCATTCATCCTAATTAAGCATAGAATAATTTACAAGGAGCATGAAGTGGGAGGATTTAAGCACTATACACCAAAAAGTCATTCAAAAGTCTTGCTTTAAATAACAGGTAATTATTTTTGGGAACACTCACACTTCAGTTTTCATGTAATTACTGAAGAAAGCAAGAATATATATTGTTTCTATTACCAACCACAAATTTAAATTCTTTAAAATGATAACTTGTAAATTGTTTTGGAAGTAAACAGGAAGCACTTGAATTTGAAACCATTTCCAATTCATAAGTAGGTAGCAGGAATCAAAATGAAGAAATATCCTCTGCAAGAGGTGAAATTTTTTTTTTGTTTTTGTTTTTTATAGGAACCCATTTTGTTACTAGTGAACATCCTAATTGAAAATGAATTGATAATACTTCATCTAAAAAATTCAAATGCTTAGGTTTTAACATGTCTATTTTTTTTTCTTGTAAAGTGAGGGGATTAATAGAAAAAGAGATAGATGAGAGATAGAGTTAATCAAAGTACATAGTTTAATAAATACTTACTTGTAATAGATAGACTCTGACACAGTAAGTGAGAGCCAAGAATAATGCAAAGCACCAACGAAAGGTTACATGGGGTGTGGCACGGTCAAGTAAACTTTGATGAATCTACAAGTAGTAAAAATTAAAAAGGAAAATTATTTAAGATTTTAATTTTCATGTACAACTGGAAATAAAATATACAAGAAAAATTAGAGTGACAATATTCAATAACTTAGTTTCCAGATCTTTTTTTTTTTTTTTTTAAACTTAATCCAACCGATATTTTGATGAGCTGAGGCCACCCAATATAGTTGTCACTTTTAGTAAGACACTTGTCTTTCAAGTGTGTTGACTAAAAGGACAGCATCTTGACTGGAGCATCATGGTTACATGGTTATTAATGTAAGAGTTTTTGTTTCTTTGTTGAAAAACTTGATTTCATAAATAGAAATATTTTGTCCCAGCACCATTTAGCATCAATTTTTGTTTTAGTGATAAGTAACATCCTGATATATGAAATCAAAGACTTTTGAAAAATTTTTGGACAAAGGAAACAATTCCCCACTTTCCACAAATACATACCACATTTGGCAAGATCATGTAAAACTTTATGATGCTATGATAATTAACTTGTCTTACATCAGAGAGAGAGAGAGATAAGGATTACTTAACTCATACAGTATCATCCATAGTTAATATGTTCCAGTTAATGATGCAAAAATATTATAACAAGTATTGTGATTTTAAAAGCACACAACCTTCAGCTTAGATTCAATTTTGATAATTTGCATACAGAAGGACATTTTTTTCTTTTTTTAAAGAAATTAGTATTGCATATTGGTGAAACATTAAGAACATAACTTTTTAATGGATCAAAATGCAAACACATGGCTAAATACCAACTGAGCTCAATAACTATTTCTATTTGAAAAACTTTAAAAAAAAAAAAAACTTTCCATATAACATAAATTATATTTGAACAGGACAAAAGAAATTTTGTTATTTCACTGTCGAATTTTAATTTTTGTGACTTAATTAGTATTACTGATAATTTCCCCAAAGGGGGATCACCACCCACCCACTTTTATTTATAAATTGAGATAAAATATTTCTAAATAGAAAAGACAACACTGGAGAATTATTAACTGAAATCAATGCCTTACATGTAAACTAAGAAAATATTTGTTGATTATTTCTAGCATAGCTATTAAAATTTTCAAAGTACACATTTGATAGACAAAAATCTGAAAGAAAGATATAAAATTGTCTTTCAAAAACAAGAAAAAAAAACCCAACAACAACAACTGTCATGAACAAATGCCATAACAAAAAGGTAAGCAAAAGGGAAAATAACTTCAGAATATTGTTTCTTAACCTCATCATAAAGTAAAATATATTCATTTGAAAATACAGTTTTCTCACATTTCATGCACAAACATTTATAAAATGTAAAGAAACAGCTTCTTTTATGTACTGTGATCCCTTCAGGATGTGGGTGCTCATGATTCTATACAAATTCCCATCCCTTGCAGCTCTAAGCAATATTTGATCCCTTACTATCTGGATTTGTTCATAGTCTGCCACCCATTTAGACAAATTGGTTAGGTTTATTCATTGCTTTCATCTGCCTCTTTTGCCTTCAATATGTCCTGTGAGTGGCAGATTCTCCAAGCCATCTTACATGTCCCAGAAATTTCAATTGTCTCTTACTGATTCTAAGCAAGTGTCCTTTTTATTCCCATTTTCCTTAAACTTTCATCCCTGATCACATATCTTGTTAGGGACATGAAAATTGCTGCAAATTATTTGCAAGAATGATTTGAATTGTGTTTATTAAAATAACTTTTAGTAAGCATTATGCTTGTAAAAAATAAGATAAAAGACCATCACAAATAGACAAAGTGAAAAGTCAAGATCAATATGACATGACAAAAAAAAAAAAAAAAACAGAACAGGGTGAAACAAATCCAAAACTGTTAAGAGAAGTGAAAGATGTACAAAGACAGATCACTTAAAATTACATTTTCCTTACAGGTAAATAGGGGGAGAGAAAAATTAAGCTCTACATTAGGTACTGCCACATTAACTTTTTCTTATATATTGCAATAATTTAAACCTATTCTTTGATGCATAGATGACCAAAAATAAAGTTTTGTTTGAGCAGAAAAGTTACAGGGTGCGATGGGTAAATTGTCGCCATTTTATATCTTTAATTTTGTGCATGTGCATTGTTTGGGATTTTGTCAACTGCACAATATAGTAGGGTCAGTTGGGCACCCTCTCTGAGAAAAAAGAGCACCATGATGAAATTCACTTGGCCAGTAATTTGGAGATGGCATGCTGTACTGCCTGGCATTTGCACTGGAAGTGCCAATATGAACATTTCAGAGAGTTTGGGTATCAATCTAAGAACAGTGCAGAGAATTCAGAGAGAGTTGGAGGAGTCTAATGGTGATTACAAAAGCATGGCATCTCAGAAAACTCACTCTGATCATTCAGATAAGAAAAGAACTCCCAAATTTATTAGGGATGGTCTTAGACACAGCACAAAGCCTCCATCGTGCCTTGAGGAGGTAGTGTTGCCCTGAGTCAAGAGTGTGGCTGCTGGAAGACCCTATGTCTGGCAACAGGACTGCACCATGCCACACAAGCAGGAGAACTCAGTTATGGCTGTCAGAATTTCTGCAACCACATCACCCCTTATATCTGGCCACCTAACTCCCCACTCTGAGACCCCCTTGCAGTTGAGCAAGAGACCAACAAAACTTCTTGTAACACCAAAATGAACTGAAGGCAAGGATTATGGCAGCATTCACCAGCTTAAACAAGGAAACCGTCCAGAAGAGCTGCAGTCATCTGAAGGGCTTGATTAAAATCAATGGCAATTTTATTGAATAAATTTACTCTTTAGTATTTCAAGATATTTTTATGTAATTTTGGTAAATATGAGGGTCGTTCAATAAATAAGGTGAATTTTTCGGTATAAGGACTCCTAATACAGATAGAAGCTTACTTTTTTTTATTCTTTTTTTTTGTTTTACTTCTTTTTCACATGGATTTAATTTCTTTTGCAGATTAAAAAAAAACAGAGTTTTGGCGATTAACAAAGATGGCCGACCAAGAAGCATGCTCCAGGATTGAACAGCAGTCAGTTATCAAGTTTTTGGTTGCTGAAGGGTGCAAACCAGTTGAAATTCATAGGAGAATGTCAACTGTGTATGGTGCCACATGTTTCAGCCAAATAAAAAAATGTCTACAAGTGGGCTAAATTGTTTAAAGAAGGACGGAGCAGTGTTGAGGATGAAGACAGGCCTGGGAGGCCTACAGAAGTGAGGTCTCCTGTGGTGATCGAATCAGTCAATGACCTCATTCAGTCTAACAGAAGAACTACTGTGAACTGCTGAGGCAGGTCAAGAAAGACAAAGAACAAACGCAGGGGTCATCAGTCAGGAGGAGTCATCTTGCATTGCATCATAACACAAGGCCTCACACAGCAGACCATCAACAAGCTGGGCTGGGAACTACTCCCTCATCCCCCTTACAGCCCAGACCTTGCCCCTTCAGACTTTCACCTGTTTGGTCCTTTGAAAGCGTTCACAACAGGCACGAAGTTTAAAAGTGACGAAGTCAAAAGTGTTGTGAGCAACTGGCTGAGACATCAGTCCAAAGATTTTTATGCCGAGGGAATACGGAAGCTTGTGCACAGATGGGAAAAGTGTGTGACAGTGCTGGGAGACTACGTTGGAAAAATAAAAAGAAAAAAAGAAAAATAAAGCTTCTATCTGTATTAGAAGTCCTTATACCGAAAAATTCATCAAAGATAAAAATATTCCATAACATTCCTTCCATACATGCTAATTTTTTTTTTTTTTTTTTAAGCATTCAACCCCAAGCAAGGCAGGAAGCGACTAGCACACAAAGGGTTTCAGAGTAGAAGCGAGAACAAAGAGGAGTGACAAAGGAAAGTATGAAGAGTCGGTTAGGGGATAGATCAGGGCATCTGGAGACGTTGATTGACGTTACATTTGAATAGTTGGAGATTATAGTTATCAGGAAAACAAGAAATGGGGAGGGAGTTCCACAGGCGAGAAGTGTGAGACATGAAGCTATTGGAGTAGAAGAGATGGCTACGTTTAACAGTGAAAGGGTGAGAGCAAGATGCCAGCCTAGTTGAGCGCTCAAATTTATGAAGTCTGGGAACCAGCGAAAGCAGCTCATCAGAGCAGTTACCGTGAAAGTATTTGTAAAAAAGACAGAGGGAGGCATCTGTGAAAGAGTGGCTGCAGACGAGATGCCAGATCAGAGCCAATTACATTGCATATCCATCCTTGGATTTTATCAAGGGCCTTGAGACGATTAGAAGGGGCTCCAGACCATATATGGCAGCAATACTCCATATAAGGGCGAATAATTGCAAAAAAAAAAAAAAAAATTTTTTTTCCTTAAATTCTGTCAAACATCCTTTCAATTGACACACAGATTATTTTAAATGATTTATCAACATGTCACCTCATTTTGAAAATGACATGACACGGATTCTGCATCTAAGAATTCAAACTCAAATGATTATAATTTAAGAAGCTATTATGCAAATAGCATTTATACAGGTCATGGAATTAGGCAAACATACTTATAAAAATGTTAGAAAGAGAGAAAAATTGAATGATTAGTTCAACTAAGAGATCAACAAAGATTCAATTGTTAAAGATTGCTAACACACATCTTTGATTCAGTGTGTTAAATAAAGATACTGGCAAGAGAGAAAAAAAATAAGAGACTAACAAATAAGTAACTATAAGAAAAAAACTCAGAGATTTTATTAAAGCTAGTGTACTTGAATGCAATCTCAGGAGAAGGGAAAATGATGGAACTTGTACACACAAACTCAAAAGGAATACTTGGTGGAGGATTATTACAAGTGACTTTCTTTTTTTTTAACACGACTTGCTAAGAAAGCAACAAGTATTATATATTAAAATTCCTAAGTGCTGTGACCCTTATGGCATGGTCGATCATGGCTCTCCACAACTTTTTATCCTTTGTCACTTTTTTTTTTTTAAACTATCTTTTTCATTCTCTGTTATCCATTTACACAAGCTTGTTAAGTAGGTTACTTGCTGTTTTCTTGTCCCTCTTGCTTTCAATATGCTCTGTCAGTGTCAAATTCACAAGTCTTTCCTCATTATGTGTGTCAGAAATTTCAACGGTCTCCGTTGGATTTGTCCTTTTTGTCTCCATGAAACTTCTTCATTGCTCACATGCTCTGTCCATGGCATTCTCAACATTCTTCTGTTGCTTCAAGTCTCCTCTCCATCTCTCAGGAAATTATCCAGCATTCACTGCCATATATGAGGACTGATATTACATAGCAGTTAAGTATTTTCTTTGTAAATAATGAGATTTTCCCCCGTTTCTGAATACTTTGTTTAACTTTTGGAAGAAATCTTTCACAAATCCAATGAGCCTTCAGTTTTCTGTCTTCTATTTGCCATCAGTTAAAACAGTTCCCAGATATTTAAATTTTTTGTAGCTCAAATCGGTTCCTTTTGCTGTCAACAATACAATGTACCTTCTTACAACTGATAATTAGTCCTTCCTTCTTGCTTTCCTTTACTACCCAGTCTAGGAGTTCCTTTAGTTTTCTTTCCATCAACAGTGTCATCGGTATATCATACACAGTTAAGATTGTACCAGCCAATAAGAACTCCTGGTTAGAATTGGTTGGTTTGGCAATTTATATTTCAGCATCAGTTTCTGGTTTTGTTTTACTTTATACTGCAGTTTTCGATTTGGTTTTTCGGCTTTTAATTTAATGTTTTTGCTTTCTAAGGAAGCCATTCATTTTCTTGTGTAATGATAGCATAATATAATCTTTCTAAATATGTAATTTGTGTGTGCTTTTATTCACTGAATTTTTTTTTTTTTTTAACATCTGAAAGTCTTTTGCAATAGTGTTTCTTTGGATATGGTCACTCAGTAGTGATATAAAAATGAAACCAAACGAGTTTGGTTCCATAAAAAATTTTGATGCAGTTTCATGGTGTGAAGATGAAACCAAAAAAAGTTTTTCAGTTAAACCACACATCTCTACTGGTAGTACTTCTAGTACTCTTAGGATTGCCTTGCTGGAAAGGTTAAATAAATCTGGTGAGAAGACACATCTTTGCGTTATGCCCCTTTTTATTTTTGCATAGTTATGCACATGAAGGCAGTTCATAGTATATATTCTCGATTATTCTAATGTCTCCCAAATAAATCAGGTTTTCCTAACTGTTCAGTTTGATGTTATCCCTTATCTAATACTTATGTGTAGCCTATGAAATATAGATATATATCCGTTTGCATTTGTATTGCTTTCTCTATCATTAATATTACATTCCTTCTTTCAGTGTATTTACTAGAAACCAATGTTCTTGCCCTATTTGCTGTCTAATTCTGCTATGTGCTCTATTCATCAAAATCCAAATGATAAGTTTGGTTATGTGGCTCATTAAGCTGATTGCATAATGGAGAAATATTGGCCGAATGTTGAAAAGAAAACAATGTGAAATTCTCACCTCACAGTATCTTTTGATAAACCGAGAAAAAACTCCAGGAGATTTTGCACTTTTAGCCGAATCATCCATTTTCCTCCTAGAGAAACAGAAAAAAAAAATTTTTTTTAATGAAAGTGTGTAATTTGCAATAAAAACAAAACAAAAAAAATTATAAAAAACACAATTTCAAATTCAGTTTTAACCCTGCATTTGTCACATGGGGTGTTTCGTTACTCCAAATTTTTTAAAGTACTTATAATTCGTAGTTGGTAACTTGTTTCTTTTGCTCCCTCCCACTACTCTGACTCAATAGCATGTGGTGTGGCACACTTGTCATGGGAGGTAGACATCACTGTCTTCTTCAGAGTGTCCCGTCACTCCCACCTAACTAATAAAGGTAAGTTTTCATGACTGATTACATAGATATATGCTATATATTATACTGGAAAAAAAAAAACAAAGACATAAACAAAAGCAAAAATTCATGACTGTGCACGTGTAAAAGAATGTTGAATTCATGAATGCACACTTTAAACAGGATTGGAAAAGATGTGGAATAAATTGAAAATAGGAAATATCATTTAAAAACAGAACCCCTTGAAGAATGGTCATTACCAAGAAACCTCGAAGTTGAGGAAAACAACAACAAAACATTGATATTAAAGCTATATATATATATATATATATATATATATACAACTCTTTCAGTCCTGTAATTATGAGTTTAGATAATGTAATATCTTTCTATTCATGGAAATATATTGTCACTATTTTTGATGAATAAAACTTTTCTGTTATTGTATTGGTGTGCTTCATGTACAATTTACAACATATGTTGTTTATGCAACAAATTTATTAGAATTTTCATTTCAACAATTATATCTTCAGTTCAAGTTTTGATTTAATGTCTATTGTAATGGAGACTGCCTGTTATGTTATTTTTTTTCATCAGTACAACAATATTTTACATAATTATAACACTATAAGCATTTTTGTATTGGGGTGTGGAGACCATCCCACCCCCAAGGGACTATCCATTTTTAGAAACACAAGGTGAATAACACAGTTTTAATAATGCTGCTAATTTCAAAAAGTATCAAAAAGATAAAGATTATTTCTCATTTATATACAAAATAAGAAAGATGATGTCATCCTTCTTTATTTTTTCAAAGACTGAAAATGGAATTATATTTGGGCAAACTGAATGCCTAATGAAAATCAATTTTCAACTCACAATTTCATTCAGTATACACAGAAAAGGTCAAAATAAACTAAATACACCTTTTATACACGAGTGTCAATTTTCAAGAAATTTTAAACCATTAGAAATGTTATGTGATCCATAAATGACTTGTTTCCAAGTGATGAAACCTTTTGGATACTCTAGCTAAGAAAATGCTCATCTTACAGACATGCTAATACCACTGAAGTAATACCAATTTTACAAGTAGGACGTGGATCACCAAAGAGAGAAAGCACTTCCTTTCCATATTTTTGAATAAGTCAAATCTAATTCTAATAATAATCCTTTAACACCCAAGTTAAACTTACATTCCATATTATCTTATAAATAGGAAAACTAGAAACTATTATTGTCACTCATAATTAACTCCTTTTCCTCCTAACATTAGCTACAAATCCGAATAAAGCATGTTAATTTGAATATCAACATTTATTTATAAGTCATATGTTCCATAGAAGAGAGGCACATGACTTATAAATAAACAAGAAAATTTTAAGTTGAAATTTTAAAAGATTAAGATAAGCAAAAACGCTTTGAACTATATTTAAAACTAGTTTAAAAGCCACCCTATCAGGTGGCATTTAAGCTAGCTCCTGCAGAGGGATCTTGATCTTGATCGCTGCATTCAAGTATTGCATTAACATTCAAGCTTACCTTTTAAAAGGTTCAATAATAATTCTTCTGTCACCATTTAATTTAAAGACAATTTGATGTATGTAGGACCTTACTTTCCATACAAATGATTATTTTTATTTCTTGGATAACTTTCGCTGGATTTTGCAATTTTGATTATTCCCAATTTTATTTCCAAGTAATAAAAATTATCATCATACAAAAAAAAAAAAAAAAAAAAATTCACATATCACTGAAAACTTGAAAATCCAAAATTTCAGGATTGTGGGCCTGGATCCAGCCCAGAATGTTTTTAATTTGCTCACAGAGTTGGCCCGATTCCAAAATGGTATGATACATTGGGATACAGCCTCTGGGAGTAAAATTGAAAAAGTGTGACACAAAGAATTCGAACTGGTCTATTATTGATTGTTAATTTATAATGTCACTAAGATAATCAAGATTGTCCCATATCCACAACATGAAAAATAAAAAAATTACTCCTCTTCAAAGTTCTAAGTTTTAACACTAAGCAACCTCTTTTACTATATTTTTCTGAGATATCACAAATGTTTGCATTTATTGAAAGTTAAGAATTTATCCAAATTCCCATTTTGGATTAACTAATTGTGCCATCTCAACCTTTGAAAAGGAAAGAAGACGTGCATCTATCCTTATTCCTTGGAACTACTCTAGAGCCAAGGAATCACAGATTTTATTCAACTCCAAAGTTCAAATGCCTTCCAAATAGGCTAAGCTTTTATTAAAAATAACTTTTGAAGCTGAAATTCAAATTAAACTGCTCTAACTTTTCTGCCTTATTACAGAAACCAGATTATAATGGAAATTAAACCACAGACAACATTATCAAAAAAAATGAGCCATCATTTGGTTGTAAATTTGTACATTTAGACAAAACAGACTTTTCAAGCTCTTCTCTGAAAATTTCAACTTAAAAGAAATTCAACATCTGTCTATATTTCTGAGATGAAGTATTGTAACTATTTACACTATATGGACTATTGTCCTCATCTTTATTGATATATTCAAAAGGATTTGGCCGTTGTATGCTCTGGTCTTCTTCATGTGATATGTTGAATTTCAAACCATTTGTTTTGCTCACTAATGGCCCAGTGGATAAAAGCGTTGGTTGAAGTAATCAAGTGACTTGACCCAAAGAGTTCTGAGTTCAATACCTGACCACAGCAGAGGTGAACTTGGAAAGTTGAATTACTAAAGAGAAATAACTGAAACAGAGATATCCAGAAAAGGCATGGTATGTGGAACTAGAACAAACTACCCTGGTGGATGAAATAAAAAAAAGTTAAGAACCAAATCAAAAGGCAACACGACAAATAAGTTTTTCATTCATTCAAATACTCACAGCCTTTCTTGTTCCTAGACTAAGAAAAATTAAGCATAGACCAAGTATATGGTTTTTAAATAAACCACTTTGCATATGTAGCCTGCTGTAGAAAGATCCTTAATATACATTTTAGATGTCAGCTTCAATTTAAAAACTGTTCTAAAAACAGAACATTTAATAAAAGCAAATCACCAAGTCACATAAGTCAATAACTTACCTACCTGTTTTAATGGTGCTGAAAATTGTGCAGGCTTATTACAGACCAAGAAGACTACAACTGTCCATTAAGAACAAAAATTAAGGAGAAACTTTATTTTCCAGAACTAAAAATGGTTCAGCAGACTCCTGACATCTGAAGAAAGCCAGGGACTTGAGGAGCTGAAATATATAAAAATAACTAAGATTATAAAGTGCTAAGCCCAGAGAACCATTTCATAAATTTGAGATTTACAACTGCCAGAGCCAAACTTCTCTTATACTAAAAACTAATCCTTAAACAATCTTATTGGTAAAAAATGTATTTACGAATGCCACTGGTTATACCAGACACAAAATAGTTAAATTTAAGTATTGAGATGAAAAGAAAGAAATTAAGGAAATAATGAATGAAAAACCATCATATTTAAGGAGAGGTAATGGCAAAAATTTTACAAAGAATATTTAATAATACAAAATGAACTGATAGGAGATAAAACAAAATATAACATTGATCTAAATGTAAATCAATGTAAAAAGAATTATACAAAAAAAAAAAAAAAAAAAATGCAGGTAAAAACTTTAACATCAAAATTTAATCTATAAATATTTAAAAATTGTATTTATCTATTGCAATAAAGACAGTAAATATTTGCTTGTATGTACACATTTTATGGTCTGCTAAATGGACAAATGGCACAAACTTACAAAATTAGTTTGGAATCTTAACCAGTATTTATGACCAAACTAAAAATCAACACATTTCTATGCAATACCATATAAACTGAACTTCTATGTATCTGTAAACATTTTTAAATGTTACTAGTGGGGGTGGCAAAGTGGTGAGCAGAACAGAAAATGGATTTACTGAGCCAATTTCAAATTTGAACATAGATAAACTGTATTTACCTCAAACTAATGCCCTTGAAAAGGCATAAACAGAAATAAATTATGCAAATGGTATTGGAAATGTTCTAAATTCTAAGGATTTTTTTCTTCAGAAAATTAAAATTCTAAGAATAAAAAGTCATTTTAGGTCATATTTGTTTCGTAAATTTTCATAAAAAAGAAAAACAGTTTTTTTAATTCCATGGCAGCAACAATTTTGATAGAATCAAGATTCCTGGCTCAAATGAAGATAGTCAGCATCTTTTAAAAGCAATTGTTACAAAATATAGTGAACTAGAAACTGGCTACTTGGTTGTAAGCATCTCATGGTGGGGGAGGTTCAAAATTAGCCTTTCAGAATAACATGATTTAAGTGTGAAAATGAGTCAGTTGATACTGACATACAAGGTCACCAGAAGTTCATTTAGGGTCAAAGAATTTTGGGTCATAGAGAGATAATTAGTTGACATTTACAAATGCTTCTCAATCTTACAAACTGTTTCTTTTGGAGGTTGGGGGGGGGGGAGAAATGAATGATTAGTTCTTACCTTGGGGGACACATGAAAGCATAATGGAGTTTTTAGTGGGTGTGGAATTTTCTAGTTTAAACTTCACAATCTCATACCACATTAGAAATATAACAATTTCAAGGAGAGACAGGACTTTCTGGAAACCTCCCTGTCATTTCCTATTATATAATGTATTTTCTTCAATAGATTCAGAATGAACCTTGTTCCTTCTTAACATAAAGGTAGAAAGAGAGCTGAATGTATTCATCCCAAAATGACCTCTTCAACTTTAAGAGCCTTCAATTTACAGCAAGATGCTGTGTATATGGTTTGTTCAAGAACAAAAAAAAAAAAAATTCTATTTGCATTATCTTTGCTTTCTTCAATTTCTTCTCCCTAATCCATGAGCAATACCAGACAACCCAGCTCATATTATATAAAAATTTGTCTATACACAAGAGAAACTCATTGTAGATAAGCATATTTAACAAAGTTTTCAAGACATTTTTTAGATCTTAGTAACTGGCAATTAAAACTGTTATAAAAATGTCAAAATTTCTAAACAAAAAAATGTTATAAAAAGGTCAAAATTCTACACATTAATAGATATACTTGTAAAGTGTGTGCGTGTGTGTGTGTGTGTGTGTATATATATCTCCATCTGAAATGAGAATAGAATCCAATTCTGATGTTCATAACATTCAGTTTGAAAGAGGACTCAATACAAAAGTAGAGCAATATTCTTTAAGATATTACATCAAAAACGTGAAAAATGCTACACAAATGCAATCATGTTTCGATGTGCACCAACACATCTCATACTAACGCCTGTTGAGATGTGTTAGTACACATCAAAACAATCACATTTGTGTAGCATTTATCACATTTTTTGATGTAATATCCTAAAATAAAGCGTGTGTGTATATGTGTGTGTGTGTGTGTGTGTGTGTAACAATTGAGGGGAAGTATACATATTTTTTTTCTGTGTAACAACTGAAGGGAAGTGTGCAAAATAAGGATGACCCACCTGCCCAGATTCAAATTATATTTGTTTTTGAAAAGAAAAAAAAAAAACATTAGTTAAATAAAAATTATGAGTTACAGGCAACATTAGTCACATTGAATATTTGTTTTATGAATTCAACTGTATTTTATTTAAATTAATCTGTCGTGTTTTTTTTTTTTAGGGCCAATTAAGAAGAAATAAATAAATATAATTCTGGAGCAGATGTTCTTACGAAAAACATATGAAGCTCACAAAATCTGGCCCCAAACATGAGACGCACAGAAGTTACAAAGGTCCATGTCACTCTAGCTGCTTATCTTCAAGACCTCATTCATATCTACATGTAAAAAGCTGCTGTGCTGGCAAACTACAAAGAGACCGTTCTAAACTAAGGCAACACAGTTTACAGTAAGAACTAAATTCTATCTATCTTTTGTATCCCCTGTTACTACTAAGTGTACACATACATACTGACTCTTTTACACAAACGTACATAAAACAAAATTTCAGTTTCTCACATATGTACATAAACTGTTTATTTGTTGATAGTTTTTTTTTTTTTTTTCTACTGGACTTTATTCTTTCAATGAAAATCATGGGCTTATCCTAATGGGCCGAATTACGAGCAGTCATGCAACAATATTTTGTTATTGAACCGAATCCAGACATTCTGAATTTTGATACCTTGACAAAAATTCAAGTAGAAGGATTCCTACAAATTTAAAACAAGGCTTGCCATAGTTTTTGCAATTAGGATGAAAATTAATCCATCTTTATATACTTTAAAATATGGATATCTTTCCTGATGTGTTTATAAATTGTACATGGTTAAATTTTTAATGTTAGCAATGAACTATTTTAAATTATAAAATTGTACTTGGTTTAAAACAAAAATTGCTTAAAATAACATTACTTATAATACATTCCTTCTTGACGTCAATTTTGATGACACAGGTACACTAGTGTGTGTGTGTGTGTGTATATATATATATATATATATATATATATATATATATATATATATATATATATATATATATATATATATTCAGCAATACATAGGAATGTTGAAAAGTTTCCAGTCTAACCAAAAAGCCCTTAAAAAGGAAAATATTCAATCAGATTTTAATAAGTGGGTCAGATTGACAATTTTTCAGCACCCCTTCAATTTAATGTGGACATTTTTAAGTGGTTTCCTGTGAATGATAACCAATAAATTCATGGCTAGTTTTCAATGCATCTTTTTTCAAAATCCATTTCAAATAGATCTGGTTGCTTTAAATTCTGTCAAAGTTGTATTCTACATAAAGCTACACTGGTGGAAAGATGAATGAATCTGTTTCATAATTAAACATCTACAAAATCATAACCACTGTGAAAGAATGCAAAAAAAAAAAAAAAAAAAAAAAAAAAAATTAAAAAAATGTAAAAACTTTGAAAAGTACATACTTTTCAGAAAGTAAATCCAATCAGAAGAGATGCAATTCTCAATAATGTAATTAAAATGTAAAACACTTTCAACCTCCATTCAAGGCCAACTGTTAAATAATCATCATATTATAATTGTCAGCAATACAGGTGATTAAAGTTGTATAAACAAGCATCAATTAAATGAAGAAGTGGTTAGCACTTTCATGAGAAAAATTGACAATGTACATAATGGCTTTTTAGCATCAGTTTCTTCAGCCAGTTATGTGCTATGCATGATACACGCTTAGGCGATCATGTATCTTTTGATACATGACTGTCAAGGCAGATCTTTTCCCCGCAGTAGGTTGCCATTTCTTTCTGTGGTAGACCTGTTGCCATTCAAGGCTATAGAACCCAGTCTGTCTCGCTATTTACCCATAGCTGGAGGGAGAAAATGAGGATTCATACCTTTCCCAAGGTTATTAGCATGTAAATGAATGTAATGGATTCAATTGGTATTCGAACTCAGCTCTCCAATTCCACAATCCGAACCACTATCCGTTAAGGATTTTATTAGTATATCCACAACATAACTTGAATTGTAAAATATTACATAATAGAACAAAACTTTAATCACTCACTTGAGTAGACCAGGTGTTGTAAATTTGAATCATACTAGTCCCGGCTTTAAAAACCAGTTCAAATACAATAACTAGTAAAGATCTTCTGGTTTTATCACAATTTTTACATTCAGTTTTAGTCATTTATTTCTCATTTATTGACAACTGAAAATAATGAGTATAGATATATTAAAATAAAGAGGGTGAATCAAACAAAATTAAAAAATTAATTTCAATGTCGTTAAGCTACAATAATTCAACTGATGTAAAAAAAAAAAAAAAGTCACTATTTTAATCTGTAGTAAAATTGTATCAAACCTAACAATGAAATTAATTGTCAAGACCAATTGCCTAATTGTTTTACCCTAACGTCAAGCATGTTCAAACAAGTTCATTGCCCAAGCTAAGGAAACAATCTCACAGCAATTGCATGTTGGTTCAGATTGAAATATTGATATTTACTAAACTTAATGTTACATAACACAAGACCAGTAATAGTCTACAACAATAACTTACTGTTTCGCTGTTATTAAAACATACAAAGATCACAAAAGAATAATTTAGCAATTTACCACTTGTTCACTTAACATGATCTCAGATCCATCACCAAAATTGTTAAATGACAAAAATAATCTTTTTAGAAGAGAGAAAAAAAGAAAGAAAAGAAAAACATTTGTAATTTAAGAATTATGACAAGACTGATGTGTATTTTGACATATTTTAGAGTACTTTTTCATTTGTAAATTTTTC